CTGTTTCCTCCTTCCTCTCCTGTGCTTCTATTTTAATGCCTTTACCGGGGGAATCTACCGCATGCACGCCAGTCCGGTGACGTGCCCGAGCATGTTCACATCAGAGACGGATTTACCTGAGAGTACGCTGCCCTCACACTGTCAGAGCCATCTCCCCACCGCGCGCACACATTTGGACTTCACCGATTGTCACTGAAGAGGAAAAAGGGAAACACACCGGATTACAAGGATGGGGTTCTACGGTACTTTAAAGATGATTTTCTACAAAGTGAGTAGGATTTGTGTTTGCATCACCTCCAACACATCCCCGTCTCTTTATTATTTAGTCTTTGACTCGCTGTGTCGCCCTCATTATCTCTGACGCGCCTCTCGCGGCAGATTGTGCGGCCACTGCGGAGGATGAACAGCAGTGTAGCAGACCCCCAGAGACGCAAGCTTTAATTGCCCGGGCCTATATGTTGTGTTTGCGTTAAATGTTGGAATATCACGACGCGATTTTGGCATCCTTTCCCTCATAGTAACTTCAGCCGTGTAAATAAACGCCACCGCGCCGATTCCAATGGTTGTGTTTGTAAATGGGTTACTGCTGTGGCACTTATGTGACCATCTCATCCTGCAAGGCTGGATGAAAATATGCTCATATTTCCGCCTTATGCACTACTGAATTCCCCGTTTCTGGCTGGCACAAGATCCCATTTTGCCTCAGTGCTGGCTCGATGCTCCCTTGCACCTGTACATCAACTGTGGTCCTCCCCTTCACATAACCTACCCGATGCTTGAGTTATAACATGTATACTACGTAAAGATGGCTGATATCGCCTTTTTTAATGTATGGAAGCATGCAGACTGCCACTTTTGCAAATAACTATCAGCACCAGGAAACCAAAAACCACCCGTTCCCCCTGCGATCCTCCACAGTTTGCAGGGTTATTATGATCCTACATTATGCAGCAGTGGTTATCTTGCAGTGACCAAAGTGACTGCTTGAGATGCATGCATGTGATCAGTCTGCTGTTGCCTGTTTGGAGCAGCCTATCCCCTGACATTGTGCACTCGCCTCCGGCTCCAAGCACAGATAATGGGTCACTGTGTCAGACTGTGTGAGGTAGAGAATATCCTCAAGGATGTTGGGTGTATTATGCTGGATGGCAGCCATGAAATGATGCTCCCTTTAGTTGGAAATGCAGAGTACAAACAAGAATATGAAAGGGAATCCATTACGCAGAGTGTGTAATGTAAACAAATTTGTTAATCACATATCATTCACTCCCTTGCGGTGGGGGATTTTTTGTGTGGTTGTGTGCACTTTGTCTGTGTGGTGTCGAAGCTTTTACTCAATTAATCCTTGTAATTAAGTGAAAATGTCATTCTTAATCAATGGGTAATAGATTATTGGATTGAATGGTGACCCATTTGTATTCTCTCCATCCATTTTGTGCAAGTGCTCACTCTAAGATATCAGGATTTTGAAGTCAGCCCCTGCAGCTCGAATTATTTCACACCGCTTTTTGATGGTACTGACAGAAACTCCATGTTAAAGACATGTTCAAACCCATTTTTTGCTTTGATTGCAATCCTGGTCCTTATGAAGTCTTTCCCAACATGGCCAGTTCTCAGATTCAAGTGTTGCTGTGTTGCTGATTGACATGATGAAACTGTTTCATGGCTGCTTGAAACAGTATTTGAAAAATGAGAAAAGATTCTTCAAGTGACTGATGCTGCAGGATGCAGTCTGCGGTGAAATGAATCAACACATTATGCAAGAGTGATTGCTGTCTTTAAAATATCATTAACTCTCGGTGTATCCATCTGTCGTGCTTTTGGCCAGATAGAGAAGGGGGAAGCCAGGAGGAAGGGAAGGAGGGGAGGACTGATTAGCGGTGATTTACAAACACTGCGTGCTCTGGTTACCTTTTTCCCAGGCTGAAACACAAGGAGAGGCTGGTTACACACTGTTTTTTTCACGCCCGCATTTAGTTTGAGGTTTTCTTGCATGTACACACAGAGACACACTCAAAGCCAGCCAGCCAGCCAGCGCTCCCCCCTTTTCTCTCTCCCACTCGCAAACACACACACACATACACACACACACACACACACACTTATTTTTTTTTATACACACACACCCAGGCTCTCCTTGGCTACTGAACTGCCATTGCAGTGAGATCACCGCTTTAAGAACAAGGCAGTTGGGTTTAAGAGCTGGATCTTAACAAACACGATTATCATATAAACCCCTCTTTATAGTCCTCAGCAATCAAACAGGCTGTCAGCCAGATATCCGAAATGTAGACAAGTGGAACATAAGATACCTACCTTCCCAGCTTTTGAAAATGTTTGGACTACATTTGCATGTTTTTTTGCTATGCAGATTAGTTTTCCCAGAGCCTCCTCTATACATTTTTGTAATTTAATACCCAAGATTTGTGTGGATCTTCCCTTAAATCAATCCTGCAGCTTAACAGTGTTCTCCCAGGAGCTGCGCTGGCTTTGAAGCCAATTTTTGTAGTGGCCAAACTGTGGAATTACGTCCATCAATTGATCCCATGTGACCCAAAAATACTTTGTCTCATAGACTTACAATGCAAAAGAAAGGTCTTTATATACGTGAATACATTTTTTTTAGCATCAGAACTTGCTCGAAATGACTCATTTAACTATTAGAATTTGATCCATACAGTCCGATAACATTTCAAAAGTCTAGAAGAACTTTACGATTGAATCCTTTTATCTCCATTAAAGTTAGCAGGCCACTAAACGGAAGTAGACGGCTCGGTTAGCGGAAGTCTCTGGTGCGCCTGCTCTATGGAAGAATCAGTGCAGAATCAGTGCTGATCATCCAAGTAATTTTATACGCAACATTTTTTGGCTTCATTGAGCAACTTTCATAGGAATGAACAGGGTCCCGACTCCAACACTATCCATTTCTCAGTTTTTACTTCCATACTTTACAGAGGAGTCGACTTGTGAGGAAAAAAAAGGTCACAAATCAATTGTTGGATCACAGTGTTATGTCCAGGGGGCATCTAACCTGCAGTACAAGTTGGTGTGCCGGTCATGTCCACATGCCTCTATAAACTCCGGCTTTGGTTGTGTCAGTTGGTGCATTGATTCATTCTTTAGTCTACACTGAGGCAGAGAAGCCTGTGTTAAAACCCAGTGCATAGGTGCAGTTGCTTATAATCCTACTCATAACTCAGGGTTTTCTGAATTGTTTCTCTTGATGCATCATTGTTTTTGATATATTGCGTGCCGTTCCCAGCGCTCAAATGTGGCCCTCGGGCTGGATACACTGAGAGTACAAACACACATTCACCAAATTATAGTGATAAACAAAAAAACACACTTCTTGGGGAGAGACCTGTAATCATGCCACTGTAAAGCCAGACAGTATGGAGTCAAATGTCCAGCGCTGCATTCTCAGCATCTGATACTACAATAACATACTGGAAATACATTGAAAAAAAGCACTGTTTACTTCAAAAGCAGGGGAGGAAAAAATGGTTTATTTTGAATGTGGTTTCTGGTTTCTACGAGCCATTATCAGATTCTACAATAGCAGGAGGACAGATGGAAGTTCTGCAACACGTCTTCCAGTGCAGGTTGTGTCTTGCAGCACAACAGGCTGCACTGTAACTGTAGACAGACTGTTGCCAAATTCTTTTGACCCTAAATGAAAGCACAAAAAAATGATTGTTATGCCACAAGTAATGTAAGGGAACCTCCTTAAAAACATGCTATGTGCTGCAGTGTCGGAACAAATCATTCATCTCCACCATGATGTCCAGCTTGTGCTCAAAATATACCCTTGTTGGTGCTACAATAAAGCATATTTGAAGTCCAGAAAGAGAGTTGAGAGCACAGTGTGTTAGTCTTTACTTGAGGCTGAAACTGAAGGGCAGTGATCACATCTCGCTAAGCTTTCATTTAAACATGAAACATGTTTAATTAATCAAGAAACAAGGCCATACTGTTACATTGTATATCTCCTTTTGGCCAGACACTTCAGTTCAGTTATCCGTTAGCTTGTGAATCATTAGGGACCGGCGATGAGAGGGTGATCACTTGCATGTGTAGTGCGAGGCCTTGCCAGAGAGAGTGGCAGGCATGGGATGAAGAAAATTAGCTCGCCCGGTCTCACACAGGCTCCTTTGTTTGCGCAGTAGGGTAGGTGGTAACAGGGACCGGTGTGATGTGCGCACATGCAGGTGATAGAAAGAGATAAAGAACTGACTTGCTTTGTTTTGCCCTCTCAAGTATCAGTAGGAATCAAACTTCATTGTCAAAGAATGCACCCTTCCCGAACGAGTTTCTGTACTTTGTGGTTATTTTGTGTGTGTGAACATTCTGTACGCTCGGAGCTCTGGGTGTGAATGTGGGAGTGCCTCTGGATATTAACGGGGTGTCTGTCTGGTTGCTCAAGAATCATCTTCACCATGAAACATAATCAAAAGACAGCACTGTTAAACAAGCGGCCGCTTTGTGTCTTCCTATCTCATCTACAGATAGGTCGTACCTCTCCGCTTTGTTATGGAACATGTTAATAAAATGAATCTCCAGCCCATGCATTAAAGTTTAATTTCTGATTTGCATATAGCTGTTGCAAGACTGTGGTGTTGGAATTTTAATATGCTGGATTTCAGACATAATGTTAACAAAGTCTGTGACTTACAAAAGCAATTTTCTGCTTCCACCTCTGTTTCTTAAAAACGTCTATGACGCGTGTCCTTTTTTAAAATTGCTTTTCAAGGAACTGGCTTCTCATTCAAAAAATAAAGTGACTTGGACTGTTTTTGGAAGAAGGTTATTGGAAACAATGATGGATTTTACAACACATGCCAGAACTACCCCCTGCAGCTAAATTCTATGTGGTGTACATTTTTATTTACTACCGAGAGGGATGCACTGTTGTAATTAGGTTTGCATTTTTAAATACCTCCTCCATTGTCATGCTGTGATGGTTTCTAATGTTTCTCTTCTCTTGTCTTTTTCTCTCTCAGATGAAGAGGAAGTTGGACCATGGCCCCGAGGTCCGATCTTTCCCTTCAGGAAAAAAGCCCTGCAAAGGCCCGGAGTATCCAAGGTAAAGCCCAGATTTCACCCATAACACCTTCAGTTGCTCATCAGAGACACATCCTCTCCTTTCTTTGTGCTGCAGTGTCCTGCATATTTCCCCCACCTTAAAGTCAATGGGATTTCACTAGAAGAAAAAAACATTTTAATGAGACTTATCTCCTTGTTTTAGTGCTATACACATATTAAATGAAGCTACCATGAAAAGAAATAACAAAAGAAATATCAAGAAGCATGAACAAAGAAGCTGTATCTTCAAACAGAATGATGCTTCACATCACATTGCATCTCCGACATCCAGCCCGCAGGCCCAGATGTTTCTCTAACCCTCAATATTTAATGCACGTGTTCACATGTAGCCACGTTAAAATTCAGACTGAACACAGCCACTTAACTGTAAATGTTACCATGTAGCTGGCTCCGTCTCAGCCTCCCCGCCCATTAAAAATGAATCAATAATGAAATGGACCCCCAGCTTTCCCTTTTGCTGTCAGCAAGCTTAATCTGAGGTATTGAGGGTGCTCACTGGACGGCTTCTCCCCTTGCCCTTACATTGCAGGGGCACATGGGTGCACTTTGAAGTCCTGTGCTGCTTTTCACATCCAGGTTCTCACAACGGGAGAGTCTGGACTTGAACTTGAGCAGGAATCTGCGGGATTGTGCATACTTTGAAGTTTCCGAGTTAGAAAATATGTCTTGGAGGTACTTTCAGGCAAATATTTACTGAGTTTTTTTCCTGCGATTTTGACATTCTGCATGTCAAATTTAGTTCTCCCTCTGTGACCAACAGGATAACTTCAGTAAACGTTAAAAAATGTGTTTCAAGGACATAAAAATATGCAAGTTGTTCTGAACGTTTCACTGATATCTCAAGTTTTATTAACATTTCTAAATTTAATTTGGCATGGTAAGAACTCAACAACAAAAACTGTTTTTTTTATGTACACAGGCAGGAAATATTTAATATTTTTTTAGGTCCAACAGCAGCTCTAATATTCATACACAATTCATTTTTTCACCCTAATATTGTGGTAACATATCTTTTTAATTGGTCATAAATGGTCTAATTTTAATTTGCCATCATAGTAGGCTACTCATGCTTTCAGCTGGGGATTTTATTGCTAAATCAAATTAGCAAAATGCTGTAGTTTAAAGTGTAGCTTTACGTATTCAACTTTGCTCCTCCAGTGACCCATGGGCCATTGTGTGTCTTTTTGTCCACTACAAAATCATTTCAAGTGGAAATATCTGCAGGAAATCAAATTCTGGAACAACTAAATCCCCTCATAGCAACCTTATTATTGTTCATGTTGTTGTTCTCATTAATAGTGTATCCTTAATATATCTGTAATGTTACCACAATGTTACCCTTAAAGGGTAACTTCAGTATTTTTCACCCTATTTTCTCATGTGTTTGTGTCTAATTGACTAATGGAGCAACAGTTTTTGGTCTGGTATTGAGTAGAAGCGCTGCAGCAGGCAGCTGCAAAACAGGCTGTAATGTAACCACTTGATGCCTAAAGCGCCTATTTTTTTTACATTCAGGTTCAGATTGTTATTTTAAGTGTCTGACAACTGTTGGAAAGGACTGCTACAGAGATAGACCTTTTCATTAAAGAATAAGTTCCTTTTTGTTTCCCCAGAAACAGCCTGGAAATTGCTACCAGCAAACCCACCTGACTCCTTTTAACTAAACAGTCATTTTATTGTGTATAGAGCCAGCATATTTTCACATCTGACTGGGTGAATTAAGTGTTTATTTCAGGTAAAACCAGAGTTGGTGGTTGTTGGAAGAGTGGAAAGACAAAACAAGACAGTTTTTGTGAGCTTTATTTTGTTTCTGTTGACTTTGAATGAAGAGTGTTTTATGATGATAAAATTGCTGTTTATTTAAATGGAGTCTGGTGGGTTTGGCAGTAGCATTTTCTGGGCTGTTTCTGGTTAAACAAAAATGATTTTACTCTTTAACAGAAAGGTCTGTCTCTGTAGGGATCCTTTTCATAATGTTGTCAGACACTTAAAAACCAAAATCTGAGCCTGTCAGTGGCAAAACAAGCACTTTAGGGGACGTACATTGATGGTGCGAATATGCCCTGAGTGGTTACATTGCAGCCTGTTTCGCCGCTGCCACCTGCAGCACTCTCACTTAAGTAAATAGTTCTCTTTCACGTTCTCTGTCTACTGTCTGCAGTCCTCTATTTGCCCTGAAAATCTCATAATATTAGGTTTTAACGGTTTCTTCTTTCCTTGTACATTGCAGCCCGACAGGCATTGTCCCATGTCCAGCCACACCCACCACATTTGGCCACATCAGAACAGCCAATGGTCAGGGGCAGCAGAGACGGCGCATCACCTCAATCCAGCCACCCACGGGTCTTCAAGAATGGCTCCGAACATTTCAGGTGAGCACACTGGAGTTTTCTTCTTCTTCTTCTTCTCTTTTTCCTTTCCCCTACGGACAGCTCCAAACCCTCGAGCAAAAGCTCATCAAAAAGCAGATGTTGTGCCCAATCAATGCTCACTTAGTCTCAAAGATAATTGCCGCCTTGTTGTTAGGGCCCACCACATTACCATAGCCACTGTAGCGTGGAATTGGAATTAGCCGTACCTGTTCAGACTTAAAAGTAGAGTTATAACATCCCATGTTTCGACTGTAGGACTATAGTCTGGACTAAAAGATGAACAGATGTTGTATTCTATTTTCCTCTAATATAAAGAAATTAGTTACTGCAGTATAAATGAAACCTTTTGTGACTTTGTCATGTATTTTTGCTACATTATCCAGACAGTAATGAGGATTACGGGTCTCTTAGGAGGTCATTTTGTGTCCATGATTAGCAAACTTGTTAAAGACTTATTGTATGTTGTTAGATACATGTTGTTGTGATTACTGTCAGTGTCTGCAGAGCCCTGTGATGGAGATGTAAAACATAATACTGTATCCATAGTTTACCCTATTTTTATATTAATTCTCCTATATTATTGTCCGTACAGGTGCAAACATAATAGAGCCATTTTTCTCATGTTAGACTTCATCTCTAATGATTCCAGACTTCATGGAAATAGGATGTCATTTAAACATATTAGCCTTGATGGGGTCTCTCTGATTTCCTATATAATAGGTTGCCATGGACTTCATTACCTGAGAGAGCTTAAACTCATTATCCTCCAATAGCCGAGCGAACCTGTGACACCTCAGTGTTTATTTTACGTATATTAGTCTTCAAGCCTGACCTACTGCAGTCTTTAATTTGACAGCGCACGCTGCAGTTTCTAAACCTCAAACTTACATTCTGTACATTCCCCAGTCCAGTCCGAGCCTGTAGCTGCTATTAGAGAGGGAAACTACAATGTTACATACTGTAGCTAGAAAGAATGTTCTCACAGAATCGCCTGGTGTTATTTTGGGATTATGTAAAGGGAAACGCAACGACACATATGGCCATGGCAAAGTCCCTATATTACAGTAAATGACAAGTTTGAGATTTGGGAAATTCACCCTTTTGAAGAGAGATAGATCAATGCCACTCATGTCTCTCCAGTAAGTATAACAGGGTTCCTGCATATCCTTTAATAGTCTTAAAGGGTATTAAATTTATTAGTCTAAAAATATGGCCTTAATTGGTATTAAAATGTCTTAATTTAATCTCTCAAAAGTATTAAAAATGCTAATACAGGGGTAGTAGGATTTAATTAATCTTTTTTCTGACGTTGCATTGTAAAATCTCAGAATAATTGCTAACATCTTTACAAAAAAAATAATATACCTGTCGTGTAGATCAGGATAAAGGAAGAAAGCAACCAACAACAGTAATGTCTTGTTTCTAGTCAGGAAGTCAGAACAGAGGAGCCACTGTTTAGCTAGCTAGCTGTCACTACCCTGGATGACACGATGTGACTCAAGTCAGTGGAATTTAACATGTAGAGTGAGATACACAAAATAGCCAATAAAACTTTGAACACCAGGCATCTCACAAAAAATTCAAGCTTTTTGTTACAATAAACATTTTATGAAAATTTTCCTTCCCCCTTTTTTTCTTCAGTTTTGGTTACAGTAAAATTCGTCATAATTTCATTCCAAGTGGCATTAAAAAGGTCTTAAAAAGTCTTCAGTCTAACTTAACTTACATTTACAACCAGCAGCAGGCTAGCTTGGCGTATTGTAAAGAGAGTGGCTCTATCCTTTCATAACAAAATCAGCTACCAGCACCGCTGAAGCTCAGTAATTAACACAATATATCTGGTTTGTTTACTATAAACACTAAAAAAAACTATTTTATTTTATGGACCCAAAAAAACAAACAAAAAAAGGCCAAAAAAAAAAAAAAGGAAATAAGCTTGTTTCCCGAAATCTTAAACTAATCCTTTAATTCCACCAACATACAGGCACATCGGCCTTGATATCATACATAAAATTTTTAAAATATATTTTAATTATGACTACCATAGGAGATGTAATAACTGCCTCTTTAGTGTCCTTGGAACTGACTGAAATGATACCTCAATAATCTGTTTTGTTGCAGCCAAAGAATTCAGTCTTTTTGAAATTTAGTGGTTTTCAGCAGATACTTTAACACCTGTCATAAGCAGGTCATAATGATTAGCTGATCAAGAGTAATGTTTGTTTCAGTGAGCCTGGATTCCTTCTATGCTTAAGGTTCAGCATTCTGATCCTGGATGTTAACTTGTGGTTTGTGTCACAGCTGTTCTCTGAAGACTGTTGAAGGAAATTCTACAAAACTGAAGAAATCAGTAGCTGAAGCAGAAATAGGCTGCTGAGGAGAATAATAGTTTACCAAAAATGATACTCAACAATGAAGGATAAGTGTTTATCCACAAAGCTCTTGAAATACACTGAGCCCTTCAGAATTTACTTTATAAGTGGTTCCCATTTTGTAGGTTCTTTGGTAAAACAGTTACTACTTGTACATTTATGATTACATAACAGACTAGAGATAAGAACGTTAACTAACAGTTTAAACGAAAAAAATTCCCATCTCAGGTTCAGATTAGAGGGCCTGTAGTTGTTGAAACAAAACATACTAAAAACCTATGGCAGAAAATTGATGTAACACATAAGTAGCTGTTGCGTTGTCCTCCCAGTGGCAGGGAGGAGGTCTCTGAACCCCCTGATTACCTCCAGAACCAGCACCTCTGGCTAAAGCTTTTAGCTGCCAAATTACAGGTGGTTTGCGTGTGCCAGATTTTCCATCCTGCCTCATAGCCTGTAATCATTGTTAGATTTCAGTGCTCCATAGAGGAAAACAACTGCGGCTCTTGAGTCCAACATACAGTGCAGCTCGTGTCATCAGCCAGCGTTAAACAACTGAATGTTCAAGCAGAATAAATAACCCCACAGAGTCCTAATAATGTTGTTGATAGAGTCTGGTTCCTGATGTTCACATTTTCCACTAATGTGTTGGCTGCTTGAAATAGGCAGGTGCCTCGAGCAACTCTGTGCGGCACGTAGGGAACATTAACGGGTTGCAGACACACTGCACAAGGCAGTATGTTTCCAAGGCGCTCCAATCAGAGTAAAATAAGAGCTTACATAAGCGCGCTAAAGTGTCTAGTTTGACCACGATGAATTAGCACAGTCGGCCCATAACGCTTCACTTCTATGGGCTACAGCTTTGATGGGTGTGGCAGTCCAGAGGTGGAGGTATAATCAACTTCATCTAGTGTACTCCCACCTGTAATGTCAAACTTGGGGGGGGTCCCTTTCATTTTTAGAACCTCTGGAGAGGACAGTACAGAGAGAATACAGAGTACAGACTGCAGTGAAATGAAAAGCAATAAAAGCCAGCAGGATACACTGCTGTACAAGTCAGACAGTCTCTGTAGTATTATACTGATACCATATGAGAGCAAACTCACAAAATAGCTGCAGCAGAAACTGTGTTAGTGCATGACTTAGTGTATATGTTGTAGTACAGTTTGGGCTGCGTATTTCTGTCTGAGGCCGACACAAGTCTAAAAGAGTACTAGTAACCAAGCCCGACCCGAGCCTGACACCGTTAATGTCAGGAAAATAGCTCTGGTGCTGCTACTGAAACACGTTGGTGACCCTCTTTACACCACTCCGTCCAATGCAAACTGTAAAGGACCATGTCAAGTCAATTAGGCTGAATCGGAACATTATATGCAAATATTTGTCCAAACCCGGCCCAGCTCATCAGATTCTGTCAGGCTCGGGTCAGGTATTCTCACTCTAATGTACATCAAACAACTGCAGAATCACTAAACACAACCAGACAGAAGGGAAATTATAGCAATGGAGAACGAGATAGATAGGTGTCGCCCAGTCTTGATTAATAAGCAAGCACAGGTGGGTGACAGCAGTGGATTACAATGAGAAGCCATGTGGAAAATGACACGCCTCCACAAGTGTTGAGAAAAGAAAAAGAAAACCTGTGCGAAAATGAAAAAATACTAACCAAATATCAAAAATATATGCATGTAAAAAGGAAAGCAATAGTCAACAGTTCAACAATAATCAGCAATAATAACAAGAACAGATTTGTCATATAATGATAGGAATGTTACGCTGTGTTTGAGACTGTGGTGAACATGGTGTTCATGAACAGCAAGGCACACAAACTCAACTGTCCAAAATCTCATGATTGTCAGTGATAAACTGCTTTGATAAACATGTAAAGTACCTTACATGGCTGACCAGGGCTTATTGTAGGGTTGACTATGGGTCCTTGAGATTGAGGATGAGATTTTTGATTAACATTCATCAGTAATGCAGCTATAAAGACTAACTATGTAAAGACAAATAATAGAACAGCTAGCACAGTCTGGTAAGTTCAGAAAATCACATCACTTTACTGTAATTCAGCCTTTAAAACCAGGAAAAGACAACACTTAGGATATTCAAAATGTCAGATGATATGTAGTCTCATATCACGCTATCAATACAATATCGATATTGCTGAGCGCTACGGCTGCAGACCTGTTCAGCTCAGTGTTTTAATTGGCTTCACCTTTTTTTTTTATTGACAGCAGCCGTCGCTGTTTGTGATGCAGATAATGTGAAACAACACCACCATCAATCTCAGCTTCTTAGGTGTCCTGGATTTCATCTGGAGCTGTATCTGCAAGTTCTCTTTTCAATAGGTTTTTCATTAGCACAGTTGAGCCTGCTCTTGTGCTTTCATCTGGTATGCATTGAGAGTTGCTAGTTTCAAGTGGTCTGCCACCCCATACTAGCACCAAAAAGCTATTAACTTTGAGTTTTTATGATATATAGTGTAGCGTCTGCCAAATGAATATCATGCAGAGTGATGTCATTTTAAAAAAAACCCTCTGTCCTCTGTGCTGCAGAGCTGGACTGGCCCCGAGAAGCTGCTGGCGCTGGATGAGTTGATTGACAGCTGTGAGCCAACACAAGTCAAGCATATGATGCAGGTGATCGAGCCGCAGTTTCAGCGAGACTTCATCTCCCTGCTGCCCAAAGAGGTGAGTTCCTGAATGCCTCTTTCTCTGTTGTCAGTACACAACTTCCATCTCGAGTCCCTTTTCTTCTGACCTGAACCCCTGTGGGAATCCCTTCCACTGTTTTTAAATATACAATACATGACAGAGGCGTCCGCTCCAGCCCTAATCCTGTCGCGGTCTTCCTTCACATCCATAGTGGGGTGTCTTGTTTTTCCTCTGCATCATAACTGACAATACAAACTATCTGAAGTGCCACACTGATGATAAGATCACATGAGGGATTCTTGCAAACCAGCCTCAGTCCACCGTTATCTGGTGTAGCTGATCAAATACGTAACACCTCGTCTCTCTCTGGCAGTTGTTTGGATGAAAAGCGGCGGCCAGCAGCATAGAGAGTGAGGCAATAGGATGCAAGATTTCAAGGTGTCAGCACCGGTTGCACCACAGCGGCATCATGTGTGTTCTCACCAGGACATGAGCCCTCTCTTTTCATTTTGTTTTTTGGTCCTGCCTTTTTTTTTTTATATGTTATCCTGTTCTCTCTGACTTTTTTTGTTAATCCTGTCTGTCCTCTCCGCCAGAGCTGCTGGAAATATATTGAGGGGGGCTGTCAAGTAATTTTAACAGGACAATCCCTGTGGCCGCACTATAGATACAGTTGAAATTGAAACCATGAAGAGAATCTGCAGAAGGCGGTGTGTCGGGCTTAAAAAGCAATCACTCCGGGCTCGAGGTCCATTCATAAAACTTTTGAAATATCCTGAAGCCCGGTAATGACTACAGGCTCAGACAGGCTTTCAGGTGATTTAGGTATGTCAAGGTTTGTGGGTCTTGTCTGGGGCAAGTGATTTGAAATAGCCCTAAAACTAAACTGTAACACCTGAAGACCTTCGGCAGGGAGACAAAACAACATAAAAGTCTTATGATTGCCCTTCATCATGACCCTCAGTTCTCTTTAAAATGCTGTCAAAGAAGTTTGAACCGTGTGAAGTTGGATATTTGACATGGAAACGTCTCTAAACCTTTGAGGAATGAAGCATTCAAGAACTTTCATAAAAGACGTTCAGATCAGGCGCCTGGTTTTACAAGGAGAAATGAGCAAATAGCGTAACTGTTAGGGATGTCTGTCGGTTAAAAAAAACCCCAGTACCAAGTAGTATTTAAACGTCATCCAGTTTTTGTGACGGGGGTCTGATCTCAGACTCTCCCGACTCCCTGCTGGATTAGCAAACTTCCTGTTGCTGCCGTTTTCAGAGCTGCTCTCCTCTTGATGAACAGTCACTTCAACATCTGCTTGGTTAGTGCGAGCTAACACAGCAGCAGCGGCTAACATCCGACAACAAGCCATTAAATGGTCCCAACAAAGTCACACCGAAACGGCACAACAGTATTGTTAAACCCATTAATAATCATTAGGTAATGTTAGCCATGTGGTGCTAACAGAGAACAGGTAGTCTGCCGCCGGATGGACTCTTGCTCTGTCTCGGAGCTTACATTCCCGCCACAGCAGTAGCTACAACCCATACTGTTTGTGGTGTGATGGAGTCGAGAACGTTGTATTTGATGGAGTTGGCAGTTCAGCGTACTGAGATACTGCCAAAATGTTTGAGAGTATGATTATACAACACACTACTGCATTCACAATGTGGGTAGCAAACAAATTACTCTTTTGGTATCTGTATCACTTTCAGGGTTCTGGTTTAGGTAAGGGTGTCACAGTTTTTTAAAATCTCATCTGGAAAAAAGATATTAATTTATAAAATGTATTAATTGTTTGTCATTTTTCAAACAAAATTACCCAACAAATTCTCTGCTTCCAGTTTCTAAATATGAAAAATTTGATGTTAGCTTCAATCATAAATGATAGTTAACTAAGTATCTTTGCGTTTTCAATATTAAGTCCAATAAAACAAGCAATATGAATACATCATGTCAGCCAGTGAGAAATTATAACAGGCATTTCTAATTATGTTACAGATTTATCAAGTGAAACAGCAGGTTGACAATAAAAATGACTAGATTAGACTAGATCTAAGAGCAGACTAAAGACTGGCCTTATACAGACCACGCTAAAATGTCTTTGTGAAAGCGGCCCCTGGTTATTGGTGCACCCCGGACATTTGACTCCTTCCTGATGTTCATGACGCCACTCCTGAATTTGTCACACAGCGTGCTGTGGGTCATTATCATCTCGGATTATTGTAATATAATAAAAGAACAATATTTGCACAACGGGTTACACAGTGAACCCATAATCCTCACCTATATTATGATGATACAGAGCAATCTCTCGTCCTAACAGTTGATCCGCTGTTTCATTGTTGCCACAGATACTGTGTGTGGTAAGACTTTTGTCCAAAGATATACCTGTTTGAAAAAAAAAAAAACAACAGACTGTAGTGTTTTCTCTGTCTATTGCCCAGGGGTCCAGATTTATGCTCATTATACCAGGTTTTGTGTCTTTTTATGCCAGCTTTGGCTTAACGAACTGTAGCCCTGGCATTATTACTGGCTGTGTGAAGATCCTATTGTGTATTTTTTTGTTGGGCTTTAATAAAAATGTTGATTCAATTCTATGGTAATACTATTGTCTACCCTTGTCAGTTCAATTCACGCTGTTAATATTGTGCACATAGTTTCTTCAGCAAGTGTGTTTTCTCAGCTGTTCCTTTTTGTTACTGTGATTTAGTTACTTCAAACTTCAAATCCTCTTCCACGAGGTGTTTGTGCTGTCATATACACCCACAGCAGTGAATAATGGGTCCTTTTTGTGTCTCCTTTTCCATTTACACCTCTCACATTGTCTTTCAACAGCTGGCTTTGTATGTGCTGTCATTCCTGGAACCGAAGGACCTCCTCCAAGCAGCCCAGACGTGTCGCTACTGGCGCATCCTGGCAGAGGACAACCTGCTGTGGAGGGAGAAATGCAGGGAAGAAGGTGAGTCTTAAGTCTTTGCAACAGATGCGGACAGACAACACGCAGTCGCCCAGCGTGAGCAGTCTGGAGCTACCGCTGTGGGCGATGCTGTGCTTAAAGACACGGCTGTTTTTTTTTTTAAATAAACTTTTTAGAGGAGAAACATGAGTCCAACCTGCCTCCATCTCTATCTCTCCTCGCAGGCATCGATGAGCCTCTGCTCCTCAAGAAGAGGAAAATCGTCAAGCCTGGCTTCACTCACAGCCCCTGGAAGAGTGCCTACATCAGGCAGCACAGAATAGACACCAACTGGAGGAGAGGGGACCTCAAATCACCCAAGGTAGCTTTACTTTCACCTTAAATTCCCCGCAGCGTAGCCGATCTTATAGATCCGATATCAAGCTGCTTTGACTCGCAGAAAGCTGATGGAAAGTTAGCGATAGGTCAGATCTCTGCAGTATTCTTTTTGAATAATAAATGAGGTGCAGCACTGGATGATCTTACTCTCTCTCAATCTAAAAGACTCTATTTGTCTTTTGCCTGTTTAGAAGTTCCCCATAAAGCATGACCAGTATGCTAGAGCTGATCCTTAATGGCCCTTGTATGCTTTTGCTCTTTTTTAAAGACAGCCGCGGGTCATTTTAGGCCACCGCCGATGTAAATTTGGTTACTGTGCTCTCCGTACTCCTTTGCATATGCAGTGTGCTCTGTCGTTTGCTGAGCTAGCAGTCCTGTGACCCAGTATTGTACACACACACACACACACACACACTGCGTAAAGAGCTGTGTACACCTGCAGCACTTGATGACATTTTCCTCTTATCTCCTCTTTGATGTACAAAGCACCGGAGACGTGTCATTGTCAGCCTCAATTCTTGCTGTGTCATTCCGCATCCGCCCTGTCCTCCATGTCTCTCTCACTGCAGCTCTCTTTATCTGCCCCATCCAAAGGTGCTGAAAGGTCACGACGACCATGTGATCACCTGCCTCCAGTTCTGTGGCAACCGCATCGTCAGCGGCTCTGACGACAACACGCTCAAAGTCTGGTCGGCCATCACAGGAAAGGTATGTGTTAACAGCTTCTCTATTTCCTGTTGTTTCCGGTTATCTTAATGTTTTTCCTTTCTTCTGCGCTGTTGTCAGACATTAATGGACTGAAGGAATGCGGTTCACGTTGAATTGACTTCATTAATATTTCAGACTTGTTGATTAGGAAGTGAAGGAGACAGCTATCTAAACGATTGCTTAGTGGTTGCAAGACTTCCTGATGTACACTTGGCCATACATGAAAACAGCTTTCTTGTCTGACACCTAACTGTGTCTGCACTACTAACCTGATGGATAGTTGCCCCTTCACACAAAAACATCCTGGCAGAGAATCCATTCTATCTTCATCTTTTCTCTCCTCTTACATTTTGCCGTTTTGCAGACTTGTTACACAGCACATGTCCGCAAGAGGTGTTAGTATTCATAGCTGAAGCTGGTGCAGCCACACAGGCCTTGGCTGCAGCTTTACGCTGTGTATTAAAAAGAAAAGCAGTGGTTGTACTGTGGTATTGGAGAGAGGTTCACAGATTGTTGTGAATCGCAGTGCTTTCATGCCTCGGTGTCGGACTCCAATTTCAAAAGAGCTTGTTTTTTTTTTTTTGACTAAAACTCCTCCGTAAACTGTCGTTGCATATTCCTCTCTTCCCGTCCATTCCTTTCATTATGACTTGGTGAACAAATGAGATACGTTTGGGCTGTTTTACTTTACAAACGTACGTTTCAAAGAAAAGCCTTTAGAGGAGTTGATTTTCTGCATTATCACACTGCAGTAGGTTTCTCTTTCTGTTGGACACAATAGACCACGGAGCTTGCTTTTCATTGCTTTAAAGACTCAGTCCAACATAGTCGAGTTGGCATTCACCCAAGTGGTAATTACACGGCATATCAGTCACAGCATTTGCTGATCTAGACATATCTAACCAAGGTCATCCGATAAGCACGGAGCACGATTTGGCTCTCCTTCACCCACGGACTAACATCTGGATGACAGGTTGTTGAGTTACAGCTGCGGCGGCTCCACATCGCTGGTGGCAGTCTGCGATGAGTCACATCACCAGCAGGCGCAACTGTTTTGTATGAAACCACCCTGCGCTCAGACCGACGTCACAGACGCGCAGTACATTGTCTGTGGCTTCTACAACGCTAATCCACCTCGGATTTGTTTGTTTACATTACTCATGAAGAAAAGATGAGGCTAAATCCATTTCTGTTTGGGTGCTGTATTCAGAGCACAACCAAACTGTGGATTTCATCTCTTTGCTTCCTTTGCTCTCGAGAGAGAATCTCTCACTGGAGAGGAATGGCCAATTAAGTCTAGTCGACCATTTCGGGTGAAGTGGCTGTCGATGCCAGTGAAACTGTAAAGTAAAAAAATACAATGGGATTACCACCACCTGCATTTGTTTTTCCTCCGCTGTCAACATTCTTTACAGTCTCTGCCAGGGTATTTGAAGACTTGATTGCTACGTTTTCCTCGCCGTCAGTTTGTCCCCTTGAGATGCTGGCCTGTAAAGTGGCTATCAGTGATCTCAAGGTGTTACACAGTTTGCAGCGGCCCTCAGATAAGTTTCTCTCGAGGCTCCAAATCCACGTTCCAGCATCCATCCTTCCTGTCCTTCATATTGCAAATAATATCTGCTCCATAATCTTACTTTAAAGGGGATTTGTTTGACCTTGGTGCACCTTTTACCTCTCACATTAATCCTCCAACTTCAAAGAAAGCTCAGGGTGCCCGTCCTCAGCTCAGCCGCTAACACCAGAACTTAGGTCTCATTCTGATTAGATCAATAAGAGATGGCAGCACGATGATCAACGGAGATGAAGAACTCTTGATGTTAGTCTTTAAATGGTCTCCTTTTGATGCCTCATGCCATTAGACTGACAGCATGTGTGATGCAGATGTGGGTTTCTTTTCTTACTTTCTCTGAAAAGATTTGATTTTGGGTCGTTTTCCATTCGTCAGGAAAAAAGAGCAGTCCCTGCGATAATGACTTTGGTGGATGATTATAGATTACAAGGTTAAAGTGGCTCACGCTCTCGGAGATCAGTGGTTACTTCTGTCCTTTTCCTTCAGAGGAGAGATTTGAAATGCAGCTCTGGCAGATTGCACTGCAGGTAGAGAATTTAAATTGATGGGACGGAAAAAGAAATTGGTTACAGCATAGACAAGTTGTGCCAGAGGTAGAGCAGCGTTAACACTTCTCCTCGGCCACTTGTGCCACTTCTCCTTGGAAACCTTGTGTTCAATTTAGAGCGATCAAAAAGATTCCCCCTGTGATGGGACAATGTGGGAAGAATCAAGTGGTGTTACATCACTTTGCGGCGTCTAAATGTTATCTCGTGTTTCCTCCACTCACAGTATTCCCAACACATCTCTAAATAGTGCAGCAGTTACAATGCTGACAAGATTGTAGCAGATGTTTCTATCAATGGTTTAATGAATCTGTCCAATATCCTTTCTTCTGTTCAAAATTTGTTTGTGAATCCTATTTTTTTTCAAACTGGCTGGGCATTTTAGGCACAGAAAGCAAAGAGTCCCATCATATTGACAGCATTATTTGCATGAATATTGATTAATATTAATGTGTTTCAACAAATAGTCATCAGCTCAGGTTTGCCAAAGCTTCAAGATATCTGCTAATGTTTCATTTTTGCTGCCAGCTTTGTCTTGCCCTTGATTTAGCTTGTTATATAAAACACAGTGAATTGAACCCTTGCTGTGAGGCAATCAGAATTATTATATGAGAACATTATATGTAAATGCCTCCACCTCTAAAAGCACTGGGCCGTTGCTTAGCGATCAGGTAAGACAATGGGGATTTGATTGTGGCTGAAAGCATTGCATCAGAGATTGAGCGAGCGCGAGATTAAGAGGAATCCGTTGGAGCTTGCATGTCAAGTTCACATTTGCGGTCTGGAGGTATTTTAAAAAGCTTGTTTTCCTGCTGAAGCAGCGGTTGCTCAGACGACACCTGAAGGCTTTCTGTCTTTACCTGACGGACCTTTGTCTCTGCACGTCCTCCAGCTTCAGTGAAAGATGTCAATCTTCTGCGCACAAACAGCCGCACACATCTCGCTGCCTCAAAGGTGGCTGCCTGGTGCTTAACAGAGCTGCGCATGTCCTTGGTGGTGCCTGTCAGCAGCAGTCTCAGCTGTCAGGCCAATCTAAGATGGCAGACCTGTGGACTGTTGTCATACCCAGGGAGCGGTGTCTTCTGCCAGATGCTTTGGCTTCTCCCAGTTTAGCGTCTCGAATGAACAGACGTTATAGATTGCTTATGGAGCTGTGAATTTAACCAGCAATATTGTGAATATGATCAGAGATTAAATTAATGAAGGCCATCTAGCATTTCTCTTTGGTTTGTGTAAATACACAACAGATGAGGCTGTTTTTTGTGGAGTTTGTAGCCAACCAGTAAATCATACCCATGATGTCAAATCAGCAGCGGTAGAAATTAAAAGGGCAGTAACACGTTGCCATCCTGATCCAGCTCTCAGAATACCTTTACACTTAATCATTTTGATTTATCCGCTCTGTTTCGCCAGCTGTTTCCTGTTAAACAAGCTGAGACCACGGTCAGATCTTGCAGTTGCAAGGGAAAGCATGCCAAGAGAAACTCTCGGTGGCTCAGTTGGCTAAAGTGTCCCAACAGAAAATAATGTAGGAAGCACCAGCAGAGAACTTTCCTACCCCAGGTTCATGTCTTTATCTATTGGGATGCTATTAAGTGGATAGTTTTACATTGAAATTGCCACATATCAGAGAGGAGAAACAGAAAAACTAATATGTTGTGTTCCTTTTGGTTTAACGATTGATTAACTTAGCTGTAAGGGTATTTATCATATATAATCACTTTGTGTTGCTATGGTTGTTAAAAACTTGAAGGAAAACATCAGGTTTTTTCCAACTTGGTCCCCATTTTTTGTGTCTAAGTGACTAATGGGAGCCACACTTTTTGAAATTGGTCCAGAATTGAAAGAGTGTTGCAGCTGGCAGCGGTGAAACAGGCTGTAATGTAACCACACAGAGCAGGTGCCTGACAGGCTCAGATTGTTATTATTAGTGTCTGAGAACAATATGAAAAGGACACTACAGAGAAATAAGAACTTCTTCTTTATCCTTTCGCTTGCTCATTCTGTTTGTGTCCAGGTCTTGCTCAAGGAGAAGTCTCATTCTGAAATAGCCTGTTTGGACACTGCCAGCTGCAGCACTCTCTTTCTCAATACTGGACCACTTTAAAAAAAAAATGTTGTTCCCATGGGTCAATTAGATATAAAGACATGGGAAAATAAGATCTAGGTTGAAAAATACCAGAGTTCCCTTTTAGTTTGGGCTGTGTTAAATAGACTTCCTTCATTCAGCCTTGCAGAACCATGCATTTTTCATGGATGTGGTAGAAGTACAGCATCCAGGGACATGTGAGATCTTTCTCTTTCTCATCCTTCTGTCTTCTTTCCTGTCAAACTGTGAAATCAATCACTACAAAAACGTGATTGGTCTTTTTAGCACGCTGAATGGAGATTCATCTGTAGCCTGAGTAATCTTTTAATCATGCAGCATGAGTCAATGATGGGATGACTTGGCCTGAGGTAGTTTACTTTAACCTCTGCACATCAGTAGCTCCATTAGCTTTTGCCCTGCTGACCTTATTTTCTGATATTTCCTGTTAAGGCCAAAGAAGGTGGCTTTTTCAACACTACAGTGTATAATCAGTCTTACATGGTGTAGAGCTCCGTGGCTACAACACTGGATACTCACACTCTGTTTATTCTTTACAGGAATACAATGCAAATGTTTATGAAAAACCCTCGTGTTTGGGGAAAAAAAAAAAGGTTCATTAAAGGAATGCAAATCTTCTTTCACTCTCAGGGACAACCTCCTTTTATGTTTGTTTCATAGACCGATAAAGACGCTTAAGCCCTTCATTTCAGGTATTCTCTCTTCCTACGCAGTGTTTGAGTAGGCTCTAATCACACACTGTGATTCTTGTTCTTGGAACCTCGACCACTGGCTCCCATTCACGAGAAAAACCTTGCATCCTTGAGAGTATGAACACAATAAACGGCAGGCCTGTGTTGCAGAGGAAAAGCAAATATTTATCACAACTGCGGATTAAGACACAGCGGGCAGTGGGATCGTTGTAAATAATCCCGATAATGAACCACGACATTTCACAAATTGCCCACGAGGGTTTTAAATGCACGATAAATTGTCATTTAGCCAGATGTTTGTGCAGCTGCAGTGTTATTCTTCTCACTGCTGCATGAAGCGAAGAAGAAGGACCATGGTGATAAAAACAAGAGACTTTTAACACGGGAGTGAGGTTGATTGTCAGGTCATGCCACATTGGCCCTCAGTTAATGAAGTGATTCTCTTTATCGCAGGACAGAGAGGGGGGAAGACAGGCTGCAGCATCATCTTCCTCTTTTTCTCGCTGCAATAAAAACCTCTCGCCCCGCGCCACCATCCACTGCTCAGTGGCTTATCAGCTGCAGTCAGGGGGTCACATGTTGAACACTTCGACATGCTCCGCTCTGGACCTGACATAACCGCAGCATTGCCACCAACCCCATCCACAGTTCGCTCCTCTCCCCAAAGAATTTTAATTTAATGCATTTAGGATAATTAAATCGAGGCACAAATTGGAAGCTGTGGAGACGCAAATTCAATTGATCAGAAAGATTTCTATAACTGCTGTAATCAATAGCTAATCTACCATCCCTAATGAGGATGAATGGGCACATATTTTAATTGAAGACAGTTGTCAAAGCTTTTCTGCAAAGAGAATGAATTGTCTGCTTTTCCAACAGATAAGTAAAAGCAATTATAAAAGCCCAGGGAGAGATTTTGTCCCGGCATTGCAGCAGCAGGTATTCACCGACAGGGTTCTGCTTTCACCAAAAAGGTCACAGAAATTTCATTTTCCTTGTCTGTTTTTCCCTGAAGACGACGGGAGGTCACAGTGGGAAAATGTGCAAATGTGATTTTTAGGAGCTCTTAAACTCGGATGTGAAATATATGAATGAAATTACCCTGAATGTCTTTGAAACCAACTTTTCCAACATCTCAAGTCTGACTGTCAGCGGCAACGAGGAATATCCTGATCAAGACAACTCTTCCTCTTCTGTGATCTTTGCAGTGTCTGCGTACGTTGGTGGGCCACACAGGGGGCGTGTGGTCATCCCAGATGAGAGACAACATTATTATCAGCGGCTCCACTGATCGCACACTCAAGGTCTGGAACGCAGAGACAGGAGAATGTATCCACACCCTCTATGGGCATACCTCAACAGTGCGCTGCATGCACCTACATGAGAAAAGGTACGGCGCCATCTCATCATTAAGCTTTAAAAAGTGTCAAATGAAGCTTTTGTGTCCATTGACACCATAGTGCTTTTGATGTGAGGCAAATTTAATAACTTTTAACCAGAATTAAGACAGATTTCTTATTCAAGCATTAAAGGTAAGTAGTATATATGTGGTCCCATGCAGGGGTAGGTTTTATGTAGAAATATAGTTACTGTAGGGAATTAAGTTAAGATTATTTAATGACCTTAAAGGCCTAATATTTATAGAATTGACTCCATGTACCCTATAATGTGTTGATAACAATCTCCAGTTCCAGCTTCTCAGCTTCTCTTATGTGACATTAAACTGAGTATCTTTGGGTTTAGTACTCTTGGTCATTAAAAACAAGCAATTCTAAGATGTCACTCTAAGTTTCAGGAGAGTACGATGGCCATTATTCACAATTTTCTGCCAAATGAACCAAACATTTCAGTTATTTGAGAAACTAATGCGGGGGAAAAGAGAAAATGAAAATAATCCTCAGTTGCAGCCCTAAATAAATCTTATAAATGTGTTAATTAGTGAGCTTTACAAATGGTTGTTGCTGATCCAAAGGTTTATTTGTAAAAAAAATTGAACAGTTAGTTTGATATTTTTTTTATTTAGCTTATTATTTTATTCGCTTTATTCGCTTCCAATAAACAACGAATGGAAGCAAGTTTTTGAGCATGTGTAGTGGGGCTGCACTGTAAAGGTCATTAAATAGCAAACTTTTCTGTGACTGGATTTGTCAAAAGCTTCATTAATCAACTGGCTCTGTTGGTGATGAAGAAGCTGTTCCCCCTGGCTTTGTTACGATTGGCTGAAGGAGTTTGTCACAGAGAGCGAAAAAGTCAAGCTCAGGTCATCAGGATGGTCTTCCAAGGCTAAGTGCTTGGTGTATTCTCAGAGATAGGCCTATTTTTTTTAAATATTTTTATATTATTTTCAATTTTTACATGTTCTGCAGCTGTATATTTTCACCCAGGAAAGGAAACCCTGTCTTTGTATGTTGTTTTTGATCATGGTCTGTTTTAATAAAAGTCCATGGGACCCATCACAAGTGGCTTTCACTGAGATATATATTGTGTATCGCTATGCAGAATAAAAAAATATTGAGATATGATTTGAAAGCAAATAATCATTTGGACTATCCCTTTAAGGCACCCATGCCCTCTGTTATTATTAGAATCATTACGCCCGACCTAACGGCGATCTCACCGAGCAAAATGAGCATCCGAACAATACTGTAAGAGCACAGTATCTCCATGAAAGTGAGCATGTAGCCTCATAGTGATTAAATAGACCCTGCGAGCCGTCTTAAGTGAACTGCTGCTCACTCATTCACTCAGTATTACACTCAGGAGACTCAAAGTGCTCTTTTCGCCTTAGGGCCCACCAAGGTTTTTGTGTAACATTTGATTACTCACTCAGTGGAAACGCTGCGAGCTGCAAGCAGACAGTGAATAACATGTGGGTGATTTCCATCTCTGTAGCGCCATGAGGCATTTTTTAAATAAAGAGTATGTGTATTTACAGCATGGGTGTTTTTTTAATGGAAATCATTTTATTATATGGAGGAATGTCTGTCTCAGTGTTTACTGAAGTGTTGGGATCTGATGGAAATTAAGGAAAGCGGTGTCGATCAGTGACCTGATTTTAATATGTTTATCCCCAGTGTCTCATTCTTAAATAATATCCTGGTACAAACTGTTCTTACTGTAATAATCCTGAAAAAGAAATGTAAAACTTGAGTAACAGTTTTACCTAAAGGCAGTTTCCCTCTCTATAACCTATAATATCGCTTTTCTTTTCCACGCTGGGTGAAGACACTGCCGGAGGGTGGCTGTTTGAGTTAAATAGGTGTTTTTGTACTTTCAAGTACGAACATGAATATTACGCTGTAGGTTACTCGATGTCAGAGGAGTGAAAGGAAATGTTCATACCTGTCTCATTATTCTGTCAGTGCAGCTGCCACAGTATGAATGAATGTGTTGTGCAGCCTATTGAATTTAATCTTACAGACTCGGTAACTTGAGGGAGACATTCCTCCTGGTGGGACAGTAAAGCTCAACATAAAGACTCCACTATTTGTTTCGCAACCAGATTCATACATTCGACCCTGACTGTGTCTTGAAAATTGATGTTTCACCACATGTACCTGACTGGCGTCTGTCTGGTTCTCTCTCAGGGTGGTCAGTGGCTCTCGTGACGCCACGCTGCGCGTCTGGGACATTGAGACAGGTCAGTGTTTACACGTCCTCATGGGCCACGTGGCAGCGGTGCGCTGTGTCCAGTATGATGGGCGGCGGGTGGTCAGCGGTGCCTATGACTTCATGGTCAAAGTGTGGGACCCCGAGACGGAGACCTGCCTCCACACGCTGCAGGGCCACACCAACAGAGTGTATTCATTACAGGTGAGCAGCTTCATACTGATCAACAGGCTCCCATCAAATTTAAATTTCATCTGCATAAAGAAATACAGCAGGATTTTAATTTTATTATTATAAGTCCTTCCTAAATTCTTAAAACTGTTAGCTGGATTTGATTTTTTCCCCTTTACTCTTTAATCTAAAAATGTTTGCATCTAATTTTTTCAGTTAGTCAAGTCAGTAACCGTTACACGTATCAGATATTGGGTGTAAATGTTGAGTGACAGCTAATCTCAAGTGTTGTAATTTAATTATATTTTGATCTCCATTACTATAATTAAGACTGAACCTATGAAAGGTTGGTGCATTTTGGTTGAGTTTTCTGTAAACTATTTGATTCTAAGACTATAAACCATATCAATATGTCCACACTGAAAATACCAGCATCCTGTTTGAGTTATCTGCAGTGCCTCTCCTTGTGTTCAGTGTCACAAAAAGCCATAAATAAGTCAATCTTTATCTTACTTGCTCATGTTTTTACTGTTTTTTTTTTTTTTTTTTTTTTTTTTTTTTTTTTTTTTTTTATTTTTTCTTTTCTAATTTTTTTTTTTGTGTGTATGCGTGGGTGTGTATGTTAAAGATCCATCCCCCTGTGTCCTCTAAGATGTCCTCTCACCCACTCTGTGTGATTACGGTGCACTTTTAGCCGGTGCCATCACCCTCAGAGAGGAGGCTGTTTGCTGCACTGATAGATTGGTTTTTGTAGCACGTTGCATCATTAGGCTTTCTAAAGTGTTGCTGCTCTACTGTTGGACGTGTGAACACGAAGCAAAGTTTCACAGATCAATAAAATTCATTCATTTCAATGAGTTTAATCTTAAGTTTGTTAATAGAAACAAAGTATGCCGCGTAGGTGTCAAGTGCGACTGCATCAGCTGCGAATGAAGGTGAAGGTTACTGTTATCTCGGAGTGGCAGCTTGATATTCAGCCAGTTTGAAATGAATTTCTTCAACAGTCAGAATGAAAGAAAGTGTCGAGGCTGAACTTTTGCCCTCCTCTGTCTTCTAGTTTGATGGGATCCACGTGGTGAGCGGCTCATTGGACACGTCTATAAGGGTTTGGGACGTGGAGACGGGCAACTGCATCCACACGCTAACGGGGCATCAGTCCCTCACCAGCGGCATGGAGCTCAAAGACAACATCCTTGTCTCAGGCAACGCAGACTCCACTGTCAAGATCTGGGACATCAAGACGGGCCAGTGCCTGCAAACACTGCAAGGTGAGTCTGCCATCCCAGCTGGCTGTCCATAGCTGGTCTGTGTTGAAGTCAAAACATAGCTAGAGTTAAGGTAAAACTTTTTTTAAGTCACTCCTGAACTGTTGTCAAGGTGGAAGGGTTGGACAAATGGAAGGTTTCTCTAATATAAAAGAAAAAGTTAAAAGCAGGAGCTTATTATCCAGGACATTTATGATGAAACCTGACATGAATATGTGATGTATATTTCCTGTTACTTGGAACAGATGAGTGCAGATTTGTTGCTTTCACTTGTGATGGGAATTGCTGCTGTTTAGGTGTTTACCTCAGCAGAATCTGGAGGATTTCCAGAGACATATTTGTTCAGTGGAAATAACATTGAAGCACAATTTGAATTATTAATGAGTTATGTGCAAATACGTATTGTATCATGTTAGCTAGTTGAAATCAAGTCATCTGCAACTAGGAGTGTGTGAAAACTAGTTAGCAAGGGAGCAGACACGTCTCAATCAGTTAGCTAATAACACTAGTAATTAATAAATGGTGAAAAGGCTGTAAGTAAAGGATAAATTGTTAAAGTAAAAACAGATTCTCCTCCCCCTGGCATTTCCAAGTGGTATTATTGTTGGCGCCGCTGCTGCGAAGACAAACTGCTTTCCATTTTCCCCAGAACCCAGCAACTACTGCAGTATCCACAGTTACTTTAGTTACTCCACCGTCTGCCATCTGTGTGACTGGGGATAGTAAAGACCTTCCACTGATACTCGTTGGTAACTGAGGATCATTACAGATAGCTAGCAGGGGAAAACAAAAGTGCTGTCCACTTCCTGTGTTGGTTTTGCAATACGCACTTAATTTGTGCCGTAAATTGAGCCTTGGCTTTCCCGGGAGATCGTACCCGGTGGCAGAAAGATTGCAAAGTTAAAGCAAGGCTCATAGGGAACCAATCTAAATGCAGATCAGTGCATCAACATTTACATCATAAAGATAAGATGAAGCAAAAACACATGTCTATTTCCACTTTAATAGTCCAGCTCCTGCCACTCCAGGTGATAGCAGTATGATTGTAAGCTTGACCAAACCAACCTTTAAACATCGACAATTCAAATGTATGGAAAAAGTACATTGTAACCATGATATTGTGATGATAATAGTGTTAAATATCATCCAGTTTAAAATCAAACCCATTGAATAACATGACAGGTGGTATTGATGGAGGGGTTCTTGAGCTCATCGGACCAAAGAGATTTGGAGCTTCTGTCATACGTTAACTTTTTAGTCTGTTGGGTTTCTTAATTTCTGTCACCAGTTGGTTGCATCTTCCTGCACTGAAAGATGCACCACAGTAGATGAAACTGTACTGTACAAAAGTAGTGAGTTTATGCAACAGGCTGCAGAAACATTCAGGCATAGGCATAGATTTCAAGAGGGACGCAAGGAACAAGTCCCCTCGTTATTTAGACTGTGCATTTATCCCCTTCAATAACCCAATAAAAACATGAAGACATTTATGGTGATAAAATTGGTCCAGAAAATGCAAAAATTGGTGCATAAAAATACATCAGTTTGCAGGGAATTGAGTGTTTGATGCTCAAAATTTCCAACGGAAACCCTTGTTTCCTATGTTGTCCCCCCCCCCCTCCGGTGTTGAACCAAACCTGTGCCCTCAAATATAGAACTATAAACATGTAAACATGTAACGTAAACATAGAAAAATGGCGGTGACAGCCTTGAACAACAACAAAAAGCCCACAAGACGGGACTTAGCCTGAAACTGACAGCCCAATTAAAACTGAGACTATAAATGACCTGTTTGTCTGTGTGTGGCAGTACGGAGCCAACACCTTGTGGGCCTGCTGGTCCTGATTACACTCTCATTTCCTTTGTGTCTGTTTGAATAGTTCAGACTCCATTAGCAGCAGCGGCACTACTGGTGCCTCACAGGAAGTGGGAAATCCTTTACTGAATAGCAGCAGCATCCACCAGCGCCCCCACCCCTAAATGCCCTCATTAGCAAACTACAACCCTGCATGCCGGTCCCACAAACACCAACACACACACCCGTTGAACAAAGGGATGTCCCAGCGAGAGTCTGAAGAGAGAGAAGGGGTTTAAGACCGACCGGGGGGAGGGTGTGTGTGTGTGTGTGTGTGTGTGTGTGTGTGTGTGTGTCTTGTGAAGAGTGGGTGACTACAGTGAAGAGATGAAGGCCGGGGGACTTTGTAGGTCATATAATTAGGTCAGCGGACAATTTCTGCTATTCATTAGTGTGTTTTGATAAGACAATAGGCCGACAACAAGGATGTCAGTGTCAGCTGAGGAGAGTATAGGTAATGATGGAGCAGGCTTTGTCGTGGTAATGCAGAGACGGGAGGGAGGAGAGAGGCAGGCATGTTGGGGGTTGGTGCAGAGCAGTGTTGTATACTCGGGTAAATAACAGCCGTTTGAACTAACTGGAGACAGAAATATGCGAATGCTTGTTGATCGGGAGAATTCAACAAATCTTCTCCACAAATGGATAGTGAAAGCAGAAAGAAATAGAACGTGTCTGAATGAAATAGCTGCTATAGCAACATCCTGGTAGAGAAAAAAAAAAGCAGTTCATTTGCCAGCACTTGATTCTGCGCTTGTTTGTGCTTTGTGTCGCCCTAATTGATTTAATTAAGATATCATTTCAAGCCCTTAGGGAAATCTTAAGTCACTGCACGCGTACAGTCACAAATAAAGTCACCTCAACGAAGGCAGTAACAGCCGCCATCTTCACTTAAAGTGTGGCCTGCTGCCAGCTGCCAGCACACAAACACACAGCAGACGGAGGTGTAGCTTGAGCTGCTTCGCCTCTGTGACAGTGACAGGCCGGAGTCCTAAAACCTGCCTACAGTAGGAAGACTTTACTACACTGTCATAACTGCTCCAGGGATAAAAAAAATAGATGAATTCTGCCTTTGTCTCAGAGGTTTTGTTTTGAGGTCTTTATTCTGGATCAAACTCTCTACCCACTGTATAACTCTTTTATAACACATGGCTGTTTTGGACTAAATTATACCAGAAACTACAAAGGTCGGGAACAGTGGAGGTGGAAGGCCTCTCATCTTGTGATCAATTTCCTTAGAAGATGGCAGCTTAAACAATACACAAACTATTGGAAATGGCATTTCTTTTGTGAAATAGAGCTGCAATGATCAATCGATTAGTATTAAACGAATCGTCTTATCTGATAATGGATTAATTGGTTTAGTAATTGTTTAAGAAAAAGCTAAAACTCTCTGATTCCAATTTCTTAAATGTGAATATTTTCCGGTTTCTTCACTCCTCTATGACGGTACACTGAATATCTTTGGGTCGTGGGCAAAACAAGACATTTAAGGACGCCATCTTCGGCTTTGGAAAACATGGATCAATATTTTTCACTATTTTCCGAAATTTTCCAACCTAAACAACTCATCAAAATAATCGTCAGAATCATCGTTAGCTGCAGCCCTGCTGTTAAATGGCGCTCATTTGCCTTGAATGATAATGTTTCGGTTAATAAAACTGTATACATTTTTTAAGATAGGGAGGTGGTCCTTATTTCAAACATCGTGGTGTACCTCTGCTTGAAAGCACTGCGAAAAACTCTGCGGAGCTAAACCAGGAACTTTAAAGTCCCCTCCTGCACACATCAGTGTTTGCATTTAGGTCACATTTGAAGAACGGTAAAAGTAAGGTAAACCTGCTGTTTTTGTGACAGTTTATCGCACACAAGTCAACAACACATGCTACAGTCTGAATTGCATATTTTTTAACTTCAAGTATGTGCTATTGGATGAAGTATGAATACAACTGAGATGTACTGCCTCGTCATAATGTTGAGCCTTGAACTTTGACGGTCTTGCTGGTGTTTCTGTCGCATTCCTGAGAGTGAAATTTTAAGCAAAAAGAAAAAGTATGCGATTTGGAAGGCAGCACATCCTGACGTTATCACTTATTGTAACTCTGTAGATAGAACAAAACGCCATTCGCCGAGCTCACCAGAGATGAACAACCTGGAGAGCTCTGCTGTTGTTACAACTGCATACATTGTAGATTCACACATGCAGTATTATATTTGCAGCATTAAAACTACATTTGCAATTCTCTGCCATTGTTTTCATAGTTAAGTCCTTTGGTTGTAATTGGTCATCTTTATGATCATCTTGTGGTTTCTGTCAGCTGTCAGTGAGCTGTCACCTGTTTGCAACATTGTTGATGTGACGAATCCTCAGCTGTGCAGAGGATTGTGGGTCACGATAGCCAGAAAAGCATGTTGACTTGAGCACTGCAAAATGCGACTGGATGCAGTTGGACATCCTGGTGTTTTTGGCATGTGACACGCTATGTATTGGGGCCAACCGAATCTTTTTTCTGGCACACTAATAGTATGAATATTGGAACGCAGCTGTGGTCATGTTGTTCTTGTTTTGTTTTTTTATTGATGCTTCAGTGCATGTTAGAAGAGAGATGAGCAGAAGCAGAAATGGACGCTTAAGTGTTTTCTTGTGTTTTTTCTGACTTAATGTTTGACTTTGTTGACTCACTAAGTTAAGTTTTCCATCTACAAGCAATTCCCATTTCAAGTCCTGACTTTGATGACATGGGCAGCCAATAAATGTTGTACGAAAGTTGAGTAATTGAAGTCATTTTTGCACATAAAAAACTCCTCAGTGAATATCAGGGCAAAAACCATAGAAGATGCAGTGTGAACAAACACTGCACAGTAACAGTGGATTCACATTTTTGTAAGGAGAGAAATGAATTCTCCTCTTTTCACAAAAGTTGTAGCAGCCTTGAGGCATCAGTGACATGAAGCACTACTAACACTGCCCCTGATATTTCCAAAAAGTTCTACCCCTGGAGCAGGGACTTTACGTCTGAGGAGCTAAATTTAGACCGTGGTTCCTCTCGGAGGTGAAGTCTTTCTTTCCGTCCCTCTAACCGTCTGCCTCTTTGTGTTTTCAGGTCCCCACAAGCACCAGAGCGCCGTGACGTGCCTCCAGTTCAACAAGAACTTTGTCATCACCAGCTCGGACGATGGCACAGTTAAACTGTGGGACCTGAAGACGGGCGAGTTCATCCGAAACCTGGTGACTCTGGAGAGCGGCGGCAGCGGCGGTGTGGTGTGGCGTATCCGGGCCTCCAACACCAAGCTGGTGTGCGCGGTGGGCAGCCGCAACGGCACAGAGGAGACCAAGCTGCTGGTGCTGGACTTTGACGTGGACATGAAGTGAGAAGGGACGCGGTGGGGAAGGACGAAGAGCGAACCGCGGAGAGGAAGGAATAGAGAGGGAATGGGAGATGAGGCACCTGGAAAACCGAAGGGCCAAAGCCCAGAACTCTTCACCCAAAATCTACAACCACCACCACTGACAGTGGGCTGTCCTGTCCTCTACCATTATCTTTCCTGTCCCCCTTTGGGCAAATGTTACTGACAGAGCCACAGACCCTCACACGTGTTCAGCCCCTGCTTTCGACCCCCCGCCACCAGTACGAGGTGCAGTCGGAGGGGATCAGGCTGGAAACGGGGCGGCGGGGCGCGACCAGTCTGTCCCTCGATTGGAGAATGAAGAGAGGAAGAAAGGAATGACTGATGAAGACTGAACTCTTTTGAAGTGACTCTCAACCCTTTCGGTTCGGGGTCCGCTTCGCACAGAGACTTGGTTTCGCTCAAGCCTGACAGATTTTGAGATGTACAGAGATATATTATTTTTTAAAGACCCCCCCCCCCCCCCCCCCCCCCCCCCCCCCCCCCCCCCCCCCCCCCCCCCCCCCCCCCCCCCCCTCCCCCCCCCCCCACCCACCCACACACACACACACACACACACCCCTCCCCCTCCCATCAGTGCGCGCCCACACACACATACACTCAAACGGCCAACCAGAACGTGGAAAGCATTGACTGTAGGGAGAGATTGAGGACGGTGGGAGACACTTAAAGGTGAATTTCCACACACACATACACACACACAGTTACACCTAAAGAGCTGCTTGTTGTAGAGGAGAGAAAGCAATTGGAGGGTTCAGCCTGTAATCAGGCTCGTTTCTTGTCACTCCATTTCCGTTCTTACTGTTCTCCACTCGGTTTCTGTAGTTTGATTTCTTTATGATATCGCACACAAACACAACTGTGAATTTCAATACGTTCTTGGTTTATCATATGAAAGGGGTTTCTCTCATGGTTTTTTTTTTTTTTCTTTCTTTGCGGTTGCCAACAGCAACAAATCCCAGTATTAGAAACCTCCTCTGTTTAGGTTTGCTGTCATTATGTCACAAAGGGTTTTTTTTCTTTCTTTCTTCGTCTTTCTATTTGAGTTGTTTGTTCTTCCTTTCTGTTCTCTACATACCTGGGTTTGGAGCTCCGTCTCCACATAAACATCAATGCTGTCCAGAATTTTTCAGAGTCTAGCTGGGGTGGTTTCCTCAATGCCAGTGCTGTGACGAGAGGAAGTAAAGCTCTAAGCGCTGTGGATTAACGCCCCTGAACCCCCCAGCCCCTTCCCCTCTACTGTTTTCTCCCAGTGGCCAAACTGTATTTATGCTGCTAGATGAACGGAAAAAAGAGAGAGATGGAACTTTTACTTGCTGTGACGTTTTAGTCCCAGGCAAAATTCCAAATTGAACTCTATATGTTTGGACTTAAAGAAACAAAAGATCACAAAAGAAAACATCCGACATTTTTGTTTTGTTTTGTTTGTTTTTGCCACTGAAACTTGAGCCAAACGTGCCTCTACGAGGCTGAGAGGAGGGAGCGTGTCCGACAGATACTGACGGGATCGCCTGCAGAGAGGAAACAAGGGGATGTACACTGTTGGCGTGCGTGTGTGTGCGTGCATGAGTGCGTGTTTTAGCGTGTTAATGGGCAACTTGTAAACACATTCCTTGGGACAACGCTCTTTCAGCCTGTTCTTTGGGGAAATGTACAAATGCTGTGTGGACTGGCAAAGAAAAAAAACTAGCAGACATTATCGATTTTAACACGTGAATGAGAGAACTGTCCGTATCCGTGTGTGATTGTTGTTCCATTCAAAGATGTCTGAAGCAACAGAGGAGACCATCACAAGCATCAACTGACAGGTCGAGCTGCCAGGAGTCTTAGTGTTACATGTGCTGCAGTTAAAATCACCGGGGCGGCTGCTCTGCGACGGCCGCAGCCTCGAGGATTGTCAGTGGGAAAAATAAAAACACAAAAGGCAACAAACGTGAACAGAAACATTGTAGCCAAATGAAAAATCGTCTCAATCTCCAAGAGTCACAACTCAAGCTGAACTGTGAAAGTGGTATAACACTGTATATTAAAAAAGAAAAAAAGAAAACAATCTTGCTCTATCTCCTCTCGTTGTTTTCTCCCTCTGTTTTAATTTATGATCTGGTTTGAGAAATCAGATTTGTTGCAGGTGTTTTATTTTTTCAGTTCATGTAAACTGCCTGGCAAAAAAGAAAACAGACAGAAAAAAACCTTAAAGGGATTGTGTATTGTTTGATTCACTTAGAATTTTATTTTCTTATAACTTAAGTGCAATAAAATGTGGGTTTTTCTTTTTTCATTTCAAGCATATCAGTTGTCTGTTTTTGTTACCTGTGTGAAGGCATCTTATATGTTCAATAAAGCAAATTATTTGGTTAATTACATCCACGAGGGAATACTTTAAACATGTATCGCAGTGCAGCTTTGTAGTACAAAATCTATCTAACTAACCTCTTATATGATGGACCTTCATTGTAGCAAAACTAGCTAGCTGTTAGCGGGTTAGATTCTCCGTATTCATAAGGAGCTCCCTTCAGATGCAGTTCTACTTGACTCACTGCTAGAAAAGAGTTTTATTTTACGTTATAGATCACACATTTTCAATTTTATTTAGCAGGTTTGTCAACTCACGTTTATTTAAATCATCCAGTTTGTTACTTTAAGTCTTTTAACAGCTCCACAATAGCATCAGTTCCCAGTAGGGGTGGGCGATGCCACAAAATTTATTATCTAATGATCAGCTAACGATGACAAGTGCAGTTTGAAAACATAACATTTACCAATGCTGCATATCCAGTTTGACTAGAATATTAATTTCACCACAGTACACCTGGGTATCCCTTGCCTGAGCCTCAGACTCTGCCAGCAACTCTGTCTCAGTGTCAGAGGTGTGGACGCTGAGGCGTTTCCTTCCTCCCTTCTTCTCTGTTGCTGCTCCCAGGTTCTCTTTCTCATTTCAGTCAGCGTGTGCACCGGGCTGCAACACATGCACATCTCGTATGAGTGAACATGACAACAGCAGCGGAGAAGCAAAGAGTACATGCTGCACTAGATGTGTTCACGACAACAGAATGTGTTTACACAGACAGTTCAACTCTTGAAATACAAATGGGAACAACATAGAGGAGAGAAACTGATCCTGTTTTTGGTATCGATCTAACTGACGCCTGAATCGATCTTCCACATGAAAATGTATTTGTAGCATCGATACTTTGATATCAGTCCACCCACTCCTGCTTCCCCACCTTAACAAAGCTTTGTCAAATTACTTAATAGGATATGACCTGGGATAGCAGCAGTCTGAAAACAAAAAAAGAGTAGGCGGGCTGTTACCAAAATATAGATACTACAAATACATTTTCATTTTGAAGACTGGGAACAGGAAAAAAAAAAAAAAAAACACAGATAATATTGATTCTATATACAGAATACTGATAGATAGAAGGTTTGTCTTAAGGTTTTCATCTTCAAATCCTACAATTCATTCATTTAAAGTCAATTATCAAGAAGAAATTCCAAATATCCACCTGTTTCAGCTCCCCAAATATGAGGATTTGTTGCACTTGTTTGTTTTTATCTTCAAAAACTGAAGAACTTGACGATGTGACTTTGGGCTCTGGATATTTTTGTGAAGAATGTGTCACTATTTTATGATCTAAACGATTAATCAGAAAAAAAATCTTAAGTTTCAGCCCTAATGCTGACACATTTGCTACAAAAAAAAAACAAAAAAAAAAACAATCTGGGTACTGGATACCAGGGGTCTCATTTATGAACATTGCATATGCACAAAACGAGGCCTGAGATGGAAGCCTGATTGTAGAAATTGTTTAATATTTTTTGGAGCACGCCATTTTTGGCTTGTGTTTGTACATACATTTTTAGCATGGATCCTACACATTGATTTATAAACGAGACCCCAGGTGCTTCTCTGTATTTAGTTTTCCACTGCAGACAGTACCAGTCAATGCAGGCGACATTTTTAGCTAATCGTCATGACAAGGTTGCGTGAAACTGCTGTGACGTCATCTTCAGCGCTCTTGTTGGATCTGTTCATCAGCAACCAAGCAGAGAAACGTCTGCACTTGGTCAGTTGACCACGGCGTGGTTTTGCAGAGTAAAATTTTTTTAAAGTTTGAGTTAAGTCAATAAAAAATTTGCAGTCGCTATTGATGGTAGTTTGGCGGGTTTGCAAGGGATGTCTTGTTTCACACTCTGATAAATCAGCGGCCTGCAGTGTTTTAACTCCATCTTCTTGTATCGGCTCAGCTCGCTTGAAACCTCAGTCCAGGTGGTACCAAAAAAAGTACCAAGTATTGACCATAACTTTTGTCATGGAAAACAAAAAGAAGAGCTGCTCCAAGCAAGACAAGTTGTGCCAGTACCATGCAGACAAAATGAGGCAAGAGAAAACAGTTAAAATATGAAATTTAAAATAATTTTTCAAGAAAAAATACAAACAAAAATACAATAAAAAAAGCATTTTCTGATTCCACCTTAAGGGTGAGATTTCACTCATCAGGGTATTCTGTAATGGCTTTCTAGTTGTGTCATGCTGCTTTAATAGCTATTATTAAGCACAGCGTGACACTGACACCAAATCTGAAGGTAGCCTGAAGAGGCTGGCAAAATTTGGGAATCATACTTTAAATCCGACATTAATCTTCCCCTGAAAACATGAAAATGGGTTGTTGTTGTTTTCAATTTAGTCCTTAATTTATTTCCTGTTTTTGAGCCTGTTGAGATAATTTATAGGATTTTAGTCTCAGAAGAACATGTTGCTTTCATGCCGCTGTGTCTAAAGCACCACGAAGACGACCACTCTAAATGTGACCCTCTGTGGGTTTTTTGTTTCGTCAGTGTCAATTATATCCAGACCGTTATCTGTCATGAGCCCATACAGCTCACTGTAGCAGCAGTAACAGAGTCTGTGCTGTGCTGCGGATTCCCTTCCTGCCTGTTGCCTAGTGATAGCTCGTCTCTGGCCGGGCCTCAGAGCTCAGTGTGCACTCGCAGTATAAATGGTATTGTGAGGAAGCGGCGATGGCTGTACATCCTCACATGAATGGACGCGTGGGGGAGTTTCCACTTTGGTTGACAAGGTTACTCTGAGCGCCTGTTTGTTCCCAGGCTCCACTCATGTGTTGTGTAAGCAGCAGCAGCTCT